GAGATCGGTGAATACGTGGTTTCATTGCTCATACTTGAGATCCGATTGGTGTTTTGGTTCTACGGGCTAATATTTTACATTCTCCGATTCATGTTAATGAATGTTTTATCTATTTTTGGATTGGATTGGTGCAAAGAAAATGAATTGTTCTTGTCATAATAGGCTTTGTGTATAATCACTTGAGCATTATAAAAACCTAATATGCACCGAGGCAAAGATATAACAATGGAGAATCTTTTAATGGAAAATCTTTTACATAACGATAATTTTGTAAGTCTTGGGCATGTTCCTTCAAACAATAGTGCTCTTTTCATTGTACTTAAGGGTGATTTTTACGTGTATCACCAAGACAGGATCGTGTCTTCGATCAATATCGATTTCGCGGGAAGAACTTGGGGTTATTCAACAGTAGAAACCCCAAAGAATTTTTATATAATCGATAAACGGTTCAGCGAATTGTATGCTGAAATAAGAGTTGTAGATGATGTGATCGAGATTCTGTTTAACGAGATGAGTTTTAACGGGTGGCATACCATCCATGGTCGATCATCATCAGAAGATCTCGAAAAGAGCGTGAAATTGTATCTTACAAACTTGTTCAGGATCTTGAAAGAGGAAAAGAGAAGCAGCAAATACATTAGAAACTATCTTGTAGAAAAAATATCAGTCATATGTAATCTGATCAAAATACTAGATAGTAAATTATTCTTTATTCATTTAATAAAATTGTTTACAATAAATCTATCCTAAATAATCTTTTCTACAGTGGTTCGTAAGAGATTTTTTGCGTATGTTCTTGCGTGTTTTACAAGTTTGCCAAATGACTCGTGATCTTCTATAGCCCTTGTGAGATTGTTCACAAAGAAGTTTTCAGATTCATTTCCAAGATCGTTCTCCGCGATCACTCGATTTGGGTATTCGAGATGCGAAAACTTATCATAGATCTCGTAGGTTTTCTGGTACACTTCCTGGTCACCAGATGAGTAGTACCTCCGTTCAATAGCTCGTGAGAAGGCCAGATCATTATTCAGCGGAGATACATGGATATCCAATCGATTTGGATCACATGGTTTCATCAGATGGTCCAATGGGAACTTTGGAATCTCATGAGCGATATTGAACATGTTCACGCAGCGTGTGCTTCTCTCACTGATCACCACAGGTGTATTTCCAACATCAGATTCAGTCTCACCATGTAGCAACTTTCCAAGAGCATCGTACGCGAGCATGACTCGTGTCTGGCGCATCACCTTGTCATTTTCTTTTATGAAATGTGTAGGAAAAAGATTTCTGATCGATAGGTGGCCATCATTGAGACCTTTACGCTCACGATAGGATTCTGGAATCGTGAGAGTGCTTGAGACCTCCAATCCGATCTCAGAGAAGAATTCTACGCATTTTTGAACCCCGTACGAGAGGCCTGAGTTTGGCCCTCCAAAGAGGATCATCTCCTGTTGAATTGGTTCACAATGTCTGTTTACTTCTTCAAAAACATTGTGAATAGTCGGGGTGAAATATTTTTCATTCATATCTTTCGTTTTTTCATCCTCTCCTATCCTCTTGATGATTTCATTTGGGCTCATAGCGATTAAGGAATTTCCTTTGTCCGTCTCTCTCGAATATGGTACAAAATCGTAGCTATCAAAAATCACGAGAAACACATGAGTGATTATCCCATCGGTTGCCAGAATCTTTTTATCATAGCCAAGATATTTTAGATCACATGGGATCTTATCCAAATCTAACCCGGTCTCCTCAGAGATCTCACGTTTCATGGCCACGAAGATGCATTCCTGGGTGTAAATCATCTTGAGATCATTTTCATCTTTTACGATCATATTAATGGTTTTATCATCATAATCTCCTTTCCAAATCTTTGAACTGATCTTTTTGTTAAGATCGAACCCATCAGGAAGCATCAAAGATTTCTTAATCTCCTGTCCATCAATCTCCAAGAGAGTTCTGTCCATCTTCTCTAGCCTAGACATGGTTTCCTTGGAGATGTAAAAATACATATCTCGCTTACCACCAATCGGTGAGACTTTTGATTTGTATTGAGTGTTATTTTTACCACGTGATTCAAAAATAAACTTGTGCATGCGCTTGTCATAGAGAAATGCAGATACGAATCCATGTTGTTTATGTTTGTATTTTTTTTTCTTGGTTCCAAACTCATCATTGTATTCAGGAACATTGCGAGAAAATGATTCATCGGATTGGTCTGATCTTCTCTTAGACATTTTTACATTTACCAGAAGACAACGAGTACTTCATTTATAAATTATTTAGTTACACAATAAATTTTATTTTATTGGATTGTAAATATTAAACAGCACATGATTCACAAACTTTGTTTGTACAAAGGACAATTGATTTCTCATCATTATTTGACTTGTTACCATTACCAATCTTTAGATTTAATGCACGTGAAGTAGATATGGATCTTGTGTAGTAAACCGTTTTCAATCCTCGTCGCCAGGATCTAAGATGAGAATCGAACAGTTGCATGATCATCTTTTCTGGGTCTTGTGATAACACGTAGTTGTTCATGCTTTGAGAGTGGTCAATGTAAGGACCACGATCAACCGCATGATCTATGATAGTATCATAAGAGTACTCAAAAGCGGTCTTGTAGATTTGTTTAATCTCTTCTGGGAATCCAGCAATGCTCTGAACGCTTCCATTATTGGCTTGAATCTCTTTCAACAGATTTTTGTTCCACATACCACGCTCCAATAACATCTCAGCCATCTCTCGTTCCACATAGATAAAACTACCTTTTGTGGTCGCACGCAATGTTAAATTCGATTCATCGGGAAAGGGTCCTTCGCTATACCCGGTTTTAACACATTGAGATGTTGAGGCGGTTGGCATCGGTCCGACCAATAATGAATTACGAACACCATATCGTTGGATCTTTTGTTTCAAAGATTTCCAATCAAGATCAACACATGGTTCAACATTCCACATGTCATATTGCAAGATGCCTTGTGATATGGGCGAGCCTTTGTATCCTTCATAGGTGCCATAAATTCTTGCCAATTCACATGATTCCTCTAGAGCCGCATAGTAGATATTTGCAAAGATCTTCTTGTTTAATTCACGTGCTTTTACATCCTCCCATGAATATTTTAACTTCTTGAAGAGCGAGGCCAGACCGATAACCCCAATCGCTACCGGACGGTCTTTTCTGTTCTGCAATTCACATTCTGGAGTTGGGTGGTGAGACATATCGATTGATCGATCACATGAATTTACCAGAAGTCGAACCGAATCACGTAGTTCTGCATAGTCAAATGTTCCATCTTCTCTCACATGTTCTGGTAATATCACGGCACGCAGATTACATACAGAGATTCCATCAGTACGTTCCATGATCTCGGTGCATAGATTTGGGGTAGTGATCGATCCTAGGTTCTTTTGGTTTGATTTCTCATTCGCATTATCAACAAAGAACAAGAACGGTTCACCGGTCTCACATTGCATCTTGATAATATCAAAGAATAGTTTTCGGGCCTTGATATTTTTTTTATTTTTTAACAGGCTCTCACACTTCTCGTATGCTTGATTAAAATCTTTACCATACAAACCATTCAATTTTCTACCAAGCAAGATTTCTGCATCACGTGGAGAGAAGATGGTCCAATCATCATTGTTTATAAGACGTTTCATGAAGATATTAGGGATTGTGATACATTGGTGGAGATCCGAAGTTCGCATCTCCGCAACTTGAGATTCATGGCGCATGAGCAAGAAACTCTCGATATCAAGATGCCAGATCGCTAAGTTGACCATCATGGCACCTTTGCGTTTGTTACCACCCTGGTCGACGTACCTGGTCATCTCGTTATATACTCTTAGCATCATGCCCAGACCAGAAGAAGTACCATCTGAGCCTTTGATGTAATCACCTCGCGCTCTCACATCTGTGATATCAAGACCAATTCCACCGGCATTTTTGGAGATCATTGCCATGTCTTTTAGGGTCTGAAAGATTCCCTCAATTGAATCATCCTTTATCCGTGTGAGGAAACAGCTAGCTAATGGATTCTTGCGCATGCATGCATTAGCACGTGTAGGAGTGGCCATGCTTATCTTGTTTGAGATCATCTTTTGGTAACATCTCTCGAGCATCTGAAAATCATCAGAGTACAGCTGGAGAGCAATTCTCAGAAGCTCGTACTGAACACAGTCAACCTCCCTTTCTCCAACACTCTTGAAAAACTTCTCCTTGTTACGACTATATTCCATGTAACCATGATCGTATTCTAATTTCAAATTCACTAACGAGTCAAAAAAGTCATGATTATTTATCACCAGGTCATGGTACTTCTTCTCAATCAATGGAATATGCTCGTTAAGATCATTGGCAACCACTCGATAATTCTCGTACAACAGTCTAACATGCTCAGAGAATTTGGATGGGATCTGCTCCAATTGGTACTTGGCGAGAATACGACCCGCGAGCAAGTAGAAATCGTAATGCACATCCACACGAAACTGTGCTTCTCTAGCCAGATACTCGATCACCTCTCTTCTATTCACAATGCTCACAAGACATCGACTCATATCATTAGCAAAAGCAGTTACATCTTCTCGATTCATTCGTAAACCAGAAGTTATATCGCTCAAGTACTCAATTACAAAATTTAACTTGTCCATGATCAGCTTAACGTCGATGAAATAAAATAAACACATTTTATTATAATTTATTGTTACACCAAGTAATACAGAATTCATTATGTAGTATAAATTATATTTTTTATGGATAAGTTAGGGGTTGTTTAGGAATATCAATACCCACATAATGACTATAAAATTCTTTTACCACATGATCTTCCTTCACAGGTTCTGACAAGCGTTTGGCCGTGGCAGCAGTGAGATTTAGAATTCCGAGTGAATCACGAGAGATAACACGTGATACTGCTGTGTATGCAAGTTTCTGGGTGCATCCACGTGTATCAACAACCACACGTTTTAAAGTCGTGCCCTGGGATTTGTGAATGGTCAGCGCGTATGATAGGATGATCGGAAATTGTTTACGTGTGTATTTTTTCTCGTAATTATCCTCCTCGGACATCTCGCACATGCCAACCAGAACCTCTTTGTTTGTGTCATCGAGACGAATTATCATATCATGATCATAGTACCTCTCATCATTCTTCTCATCAAGCTCACGATATTTTTTTCTGACATTGCAACCCACGTTCTCACGAAGCTTTTCATCATCGGACAAAGATCTTGCGCTCCAGCCAACAAATGTACCTGATGATCCATTCACGACTTCGTCTGAGTAATTTTGTATCACTAACACACGGCAATTCAAACGCAGACGAACCTCATATTCTGATTGGGTATGATTCATGAATATACACTCGATGTTTTTGTGTTTCTTGAGCAAATCCTTGATGACCGGGTTGGTGCTCTTTTCCATGTCATTGAGCGTTCGCAGGGATGGATTCTTCTCATGAATCTCCTTGATATAATCGGATGTGTCAAATCCACGGATAATGATATCATTTCCTGGTAATTTGTTCAAACGAGAATTGTTATACATATCACGAAATCTTTTTTGAGAGAAGAGACGGATCGCATCCTCCTTGAGATAGGTGCAATTCTTGAAATATCGATACGTGGTCTCGTTAAAGAATCCGTATCGTAGATTGGTGCAATGGCATTTGAACTCTGGATCCTCCTGTCTGAATATTTCTCTCAATCCAACATAGATGAAATTCATCGATTTCCAGGAATCTCGCAAGAGAATATTGTCATCATGGTAATTCTCGTTCAAGAAACACAAACCTCCGGATACCGGTGGAAGCTGAAAAAAATCTCCAGAGATGATGAAGTGTGTATTCAAAAACACACTATCTCCAGCACTCTTGAAAAGATGCACGATCGAATCGAGAAGTTCACTGTTGATCATCGAACATTCATCGATGATCAATGCACCTATTTCTCTTAACCATGTTTGATATTTCTTGTCTCGTAATTTCCAATTTAGTTTTTTAGGAGTCAGATTCTTACCAAATTTGAATGCAGAGTGGATTGTCTTACCAGCATTACCAGAGGATTTTAATTCTAGAGCAGCTTTACCAGTAGATGCGGTAACCTCGATCTTGATATTATGAACAAGATAGTAATGCGCGATGATGAATTTTAGGACTCGTGTTTTGCCGGTACCCGCATCTCCCGTGATGAAGATATTTTTTCGTAGCACAAGAGCTACGTACACGGCCCAGATCTGGAGAAATGACATCTTACCAAGTTCATTGTTAGCATTTCCTGCTACCCTTTCTGGGTTATCAATCACAGATACGAGAGTCTTGCATGACTCCTCAATCATGAACATGATCGCTTTGATCCAATTCTCTCTGAGAATTGCTTTTTCATCCTTAACAAGAACAGAGAATATACGATTATTTTTTAGTTTCTGGCTCTTGGCCTTGTTTTCCACTCGTCTTACAATATCATCAAGATCGTAAATATTTTCTTTAGATTTTCCTTTGTAAGAAGATGCTTCAATTTCATCATCTGAAAATAGCGTAACATTATTGTGACGTTGTCGTTTTAGGTTAGAAACTTCGTCTGTATCTATCACATGTTTAGATGTTTTGGTTTTGATTGGATCATCTGAAACTGGTTGGAGTGCCATGATTGTTTCAATGAGCAGAAATCAAATACCTTAAATAAATCATGAATCTGTAGTGTAACAAAAGAATAAATTAAAATATAAGAATGTGCGACTCATCTATTTGTCACGATTAAAAAGATCACTGGTTATGTTATGTATTTGGATGATCATCGAATGATGGGATATCATATGACCAACTCGATGATGATATACATTGTGCAGATTCAGACAAAGAATTTTTCATCAAACGATTACCAGATCCAGCAGTCAGAATAAGCTCGAATCCGAGCATGCATATTTTATAATCATGAATTTGAATAATACTAAAGAAAAAAATGCAACATGTTTATCACTCATTTTAATGTTTATTTATTACATATCATTACTTGACACATCTGATGAAAATCTTGTACTATTTAATTAGGGTAAAATGTTTGCATAAACCGATCAAGTTTTTTGGTACCAAAAGTAGCATCAGACCTGCTAATAGAATTATGCGATCCGTATCCTATGCTGCATTTGAGAATCCTAAGACCCAAATCGTGATCAACTTTCAAATCCTTAGCGATTAAGTAGATAGCGATTTCTGGAATTATAACCTCGTTTATCAAACTGTTTCTGTTACCTTTGTTACCTTCATATACAAGCGGAGTATCTTCTAAAACCGTCTCTATCAAATGTTTGTAAATTATCTCGTATCCCTTGCATCCGTAGTAGCCTGGAATCAGATCATTAATTCTGGTCACCAAAATTTTTGGATTGCTCTTTTCTCCCATCGTTCGCTTCTTAAAATTGGTAAAAGAATCTGTTGATCGAAAGTTCTTGATTATACTTTTAATAGCCTCTGAAGTATCTCTGCCATTTAAACGTCTTTTCAAATTTTTTATCTTTTGCTGAATTTGTTTGCTTGTTAAAATATATTTTTTCTTTCCATCCTTGAATACAAAACCATCGTCATTTTTTGATTTTTTTGACTCTTTCTCAACAAAGATTTTCTTTTTTTTATGCTCAATCGATTGTGAAGAAATAGGAATTCTTGAAATAAGCTTCTCAACATCCGAAAGATCATTATCACTTTCAGCAACTGACTTACGCTTCTTGTTTTTCTCATTCGTGCTTAAATGAATAACATGTGATCTTAATAGTTCTGATTCGCTTGGAAACTCATCATCAGAATTGTACATGATCGATTGGTTTTCTAAGATGTGATCGTATGAATTTGTTTAAATAAAAGAATTAGTGTTACAAGAATTTTGTGTTTATACCTTTTATAGTATTTTGTATATTCTTAATCCCCTCAAACCTTTAAGGCAAGATCAAGTCTGCGGTTTGGGGTGGAGCGGGAGTATGCCCCGTCCGCTGAGC